TGCACCCCGACCTGGGCACCCCAAGCCCCGCACGCACCCTCCACGCAGCGGCAGCCGGCCTGCAGCACCCAGGCGTACATGTCCGCCCGCGACTGGGACATGAGCTGGTCGCCCGCGAGGTAGGTGTTGTGGGAGGAGGCGATGAAGTAGTGGCTCAGCGGCCGCGTCATGTCCTGGTGCACGCGGCGGTGCTCGGGGGCGAAGATGTCGCCGGCCGGGCTGCGCATGTAGTTGGTGAAGCCTGGGGGGTGTGGGGGGGGGCTGAGCCCTGGTGCCCCGGCCCCCCGGTCCCTTCCCCCAGAGCAGGGTGCAGCTGCTCAGGCTGCCGGCCGGGCCCACGGGCTGCCCTCGGCGCTCCCACACCCGTGGCCGCCTGGGGTGGCAGAGGGACAGGGACGCCCACTCACCGTCGATGCCCAGCACCCCCTTGCTCTTGTTCTCGGGGCAGGGCTCGAACTGCTCGATGATGTCCTGGCTGCTTTCGAGCGTCACCCCCGTCATCTGGGCCAGAGAAGGGGCAGAGCTGGGCCAGCCTGTCACTCGCTGGGCCTCCGCCTCCTGCCCGGCTCTGATGCCAGGTCAGGGCTGCCCGCAGTGGGCGTGGCTTGGGCCCTGCCTGGAGCTCTGGCCACCTCCAGCATCACATGACGGGACTGCGGCCAGCAGACCAGGTGGTCATGTGGCTTTGGCTCTGAGGATCCTTCAAGCAGGGAAGGGCTCTTGGGCCCCCTCAGTTGGGCCACCCCCATGGCCACTCCCATGGTCGCGTTGGGGGCCCTGAGTGCTGTGGACGGGGCAGGCTTGGCAGCGGGCAGGGCCCGGGGGTGAGAAGGTGCAGCAGAGCCCGCCCACACCCCACTGGGAGGATCCTGGGGCCCAGGGACCCTGTCCTTCCCCTGCCCCCCTGCTGCTACCCAAGTCCTCCCAGAGCCAGCCAAACCCCCGTGGCGGGAACAGGACCAGGTGGGAAGGCTGGATGGGGAAGCCCAGTCCCACAGGGGCTCCACACTGGAGACCGTGCCGTGGTCGCGGGGGGCTCCCTCTGGAAGCCGGGGTGCCCACCGCCAGGACCCGTCCC